AAAGTGAGTCTTATAGAGCAAAAAATACGGTAAATGTTCCTTCTGCATTTGAATCCGCCCCGCAGAATATAGTCTGGAGCTCCCCTTGGGTTCTGTGGTATTCTCGTCTGTGGGAGGGCTGATGAAAACGAATGCCTCTGAAGCAGGGGAGGCCCCTCTTTCAGGCAAAGTGTCACTCAAGTGACCACCTAGGTGCCACCAGCCTCCACTGCCCTCAAGGCTGGTACCACCCATTAGGAACAGTACCATGTTAGGCCTTCCCTCATGGTTTTATTTTACCATGGAAAGTAACTGGATGGCTTCAGGTTGAGCTGAAGACTTGGTGTCTGTGGATGAAAGAGACTATTTAACCCATTTCTTTCCACCCCCCCAAAAGCTGCTTTCTTCCTTGAGAATAAAAGATATTGGTCCCTTTATCGACTGGGGAGAAAAGTAGCTTGGGGTCAGCAATTTTGAGCAGCCAGCCGCCTGTGAACTGGTTTGAGACGCCAAGCCGCAGTTTAGTGGAATGTGTCATCTTGAATTGGCCACCAAGGGGGCGAATTCCTGTACTGTATTATAGATGTAAACCAGCCGCTGTAATTAGAAACGTGAGTATAGCACAGGCTCCCTCCGACTGAAGAAAGTGTGTTTAATTCCTCCTGGCCTGCATGCTGCAAGAAGCAGCTTTTCCTCTTGAATAAGATGAATGAACGCCCCACCCCCCCAATCCCTACTGACTACATTTTATTAGGTACCAAAATGAAGAAATCCGGATCCAGTTTGAGCCATATTTTTGTTTTTGTTTTTAGTTTCAGTTAATACTCAGGGGGAAAAGAAGAAGAAACGCTTGAAAACTGCACTTAAAACCTGAAAAAGTTAGAATCTGTGTTTTCTTGAGCACGTTCATTGATTACGGTGGTATGACACAGGGGAAATTACTGCATTTGGAATGCTTCTCTAATGCCTGCAATTCCCCACACAGTAATGTACACAGTCATCATTTGGTGTGGTTTTCTTTTGTCTCAGTGGAACATTAATGCACATGGAAGAGGCTGCTGGGAGGACGAACAGGGATTCCTTGCCTGCTCTTTGCTTTTGGGTCAATTGTTGTGTTGCCTTGGCTGTCCAGTGACTTGCTCTGCCCTCTCCCTTCTGGATTCTGTGTCTGTCTTGGAATCAGTTTGCCCATCATTCTCACAACCTTGCTCGAACCTTTCTGAACGAGCTCCGCTCCGCTCATCCCCCCCATCCCAAACTGCCAATGACATTAGTCCAGTAAAATATATGTTATGCTTCTACGCTCTTCACCCTGAGCTCCTCCTCAGAGGATGTGAAATGTTAAAAATATTCCCAGCCAGTTTGTCATCCCTAAGAGAAGCTGAGCAAAGAAATGACAAGTTTCATGCAGTATATATATCCTCCAGGCATCCTCTCCCCCTTCCCCAGCCACGTCAACTAGTATACGCAGGTTGACATCACATATGTTCCTGCTCTGGTACTCTCAACCATAAAAGGATCTTCCTTCCTGTACTTCTGACCATAAAAGGATCTTCCTCTTTCTACTCTTATCTGGGAAGACGTCATAATCTCCGGGAACACGCTTTTGGCATTTTCCCCGGACATTGGTCTTGCGCATATTTTGTGGTCAGCACATAAGATAAAGTTCTGATGTGTTTTCGTTGTTCCCCTGGGGAGCCAAGGCCATCCCTTGCCTGTCCTGATAAAGGACAGAACTGTTTATGCAGTTGTGTCCTTATTATGGTTTTGCTCAACAGTTCAAGTTTTACGCATTTAAAAGTGCTCTCTTTTGAAAGAACAAAAGGGGGGGGGGGGTGTTGAGTCAGTTTTAAACTTGCTACACAGAAACCCATTCCTTCAGTACCGCTTCTCCCTTTCTGCATTTGGCAGATTTTCTACCTTGTGAAACAAAGCCTACATTCTTAAAGCAACATAGATTTGTTTATGTGCCTATTTATGCTTTGCCTTACCCTATCCCCACCCCTAATGCACACACACCAACTGCAAAATTGCTGGGGGTGGGAGGGAGGGAGAAAATGACTGTTGATCACACAGGCACTCTAGGAGATACCAATCTTTTTGGGTTCAGGGGCACCATTGGAATTGGAGTGCTGTGGGCACCACTCACAAAATGGCTGCCGCAGTTGGGGTGGTGTAACACAAAAAAGGCATCTACATCAGCCACTGCTGTGTTTGCTCAAAGAGAGCAGCTCTTTGCTCCTCTCCTCGGCTCAGAATTGAAGGGAGGGTGGTTGCCCAATCCTGGCATCCAATGAAATGTGTGTATGTTTTAAGGGGCATATTCAATATCGGTGAGGCTGAACCAATGCAAACAGGAACTAAGCAGAAAGATCAAAGAGTCTATCATGCATTGTCAATTTTGTAGGATATTTATGCAAACATTTTGGGGACACCGGGGGTGGGGTGCACACTGATGCCTGTGCATGTTGGCTTGGCGCCCTGTAGCCAATATGCGTCCTTCACAGCTGAAGCTTCTCTGTTCAAGTAGACAAAAACCTACAGAACTGGATGACCATATATATATCCACTCGTGGTGGAGTTCGCTCAATTCCTCCCCATGACTACAGTCTCCTGTGTCCTCCAAAAGCCACTGCTGAGGACCGAAGGACCCTTTGAGACGAGATGGGGAAACTGGAAGAATGTGATATGGTTGCCTGCACTAGAGGAACAGCCTTTCTGCTCATGCAAAACACTTTTGGATCCAAGTCTATGCTTTCAACTTCAGAGAACTGTCATGTGATTCCCACCCAGAAAGCTTTACAGAGTCAGACCTTCTTAACCTTCAGCAACAGAACCATGTTGTGCATTTAATGAAAATCTTCTACCTCCACTGTTGGGAGCAGTATGCGTCAGGATACCAGCTGCTGAGTATCACAAGTGCGGAGAGCAGTGTTGCATTTTCAGGTCCTGCTTGTGAGCTTCCCATAGGCATGTGGCTTACCACTATAAGAACAGCATGCTGGACTTAGATCAGCCTTTGGTGTGACCCAGAAGGGCTCTAATGTTCTTGGGGCCCTGTTTGCGCCATATTACTAGGTCAAAATGTTGGCCATATGCATCCAACATTGGCCCAAGGGGATGCACCTCAGAGGTCTTTTGCATTATACTCAGTTGTGTTTCATTAAGACATCTGCCTCCCACCAAACAGTTTAATTCCCAGAGCCCATGATGAACCACCTGTTCTAGGAATCCCGCAATATGTTGGTATGCATGTAAGACAGAAAAATCGACCAAGCTGAAGGATATCAGGTGCTGCCCTTCTGAAGCTCAGTGGGCTGTTCTCTCTGAAGAGCAATTATTCCTTATGGCCAGCCCTCCCTCCCCCCACCGCTTTCAGATGCAAACAAATCTTTTTACAAATGTCGTAGATGGGTCATGACACTCCAGTGCATACACAACGAACACCTTAACTTTATTGCAAAGACTGTGTGTGTTTAAAAAAAAGGAACATATTGTGCTGACATTGTAAGGAAGCCCTTGACGTCTGATAGTTTAACTGAGTCTCTTAATGTTTGACAAATGATTCCAGTTCAGCATCTGCCTTTGAAAGCAGGAGATAATATGGGACTGGCTCAATGTTAAACACTTTTTCTAGGGCAGCATGCAATTTGATGGGCTGCAGGGAAAGCTAACAGCTTTATACAATGGCCCGCTTCCAAATGGCCACACAATTCTTTTCCTTACGTCAAAATTACAGTGTTTTACAAAAGGGGAAAAAGGCAGGGGGGATTTCTTAGCTGCGATGTTCTTTATTTATTGAAGATGTGAAAGCTTCAAGTGCAAGTGAAATGCAATGTCTAATATTTGCAAATTGTTCCAGAATGAAAGTGAAGCAATTGGCCTCTGCTCTCTGTAATATTTCTGTATTGCTATCATTAAGCCCCATTGGGTTGATGCTTTGGTAAGTGGTGGTCAGATGTTGGCCTTCAAGATTGCTATATGCAAGCTCCCCACCCCCCTTTTTTCTTTTGGTGTATGTATGTGTTCCTATCCCTTTTGTTTGGTATTCAGCAATACTGGATGCTATATAATGGGAAGTGAAATAGAAATCTTAAATTTGGAAGCAGAGGAAAAGCTGAGCAACAAAATGTTTCTCAGCTGTGATTTGCTTTCTTGCAGGAGCCTCGTTTTCTTTAAAATTGTATGCTAAACATATCCTGTAAACTTGTCATCCGGGTGCCTAAAATCCATGTTAATTGCCAAAATGAGAGGTAGTGGGAGGACTCAGGTCTGCCTGGAAGGTGCCCATTGTCAAGGAAGGCAACTCTGTACACACTCAGGGGCACACTCATTTTAATTATTCCTTCTCATCTTCTCTACATTGCAGAGAGAGAGAGAAAAAAAACTTTTAACAATGAAGTCAAAGGGAAAAGAGACAAGAAATTGATTTCCCCTGCCCCCCTGAACTGAAAAGTCCCAAATGTTGCAACCTTTCCCCATAGGGGAGTTGCAACCCCCTTATCATTTTGATTGCCTTTTTTTCTGCACCATTTGCAGCTCAGTAGTATCCTTTTTGAGGTGCAGCAACCAGAAACTGTACACAGTATCCAAGTGTGGCTGCACCATTTATTTGTATAACAGAATGGTGGTTCTGGCAGTTTTATTTTCAATCCCTCCCATAATTATCTCTAACATGGGATTCATTCTTTTTTCAGCTATCAAAACACTGCGCCAACATCCACCAGATTCCTTTCCTGCCATTTAAAATCCCATTGGCACATATGTTATTAATATTTTTGCTGCACACACCTCACTTTACACTTCTTTACATCATTAAATTGCATTTTCCAGTTTTAGGCTTTCCCTATGTCAGGAAAATTCCTGACATGCCCTGGTTTTGGGGAAAACCTGGATGTATGTCAGTGCGGCAGAAACAGCTCCAAAAGCTTAAAATCACTATTTTGGGTTTTCCTCCCAAACAATTTGGATTTGTTCCCCCCCAAAAGCTCAACAATTTTGGCAGTTTCCTAAAAAAAAGCTCAAAAGGTCACTCTTTGTGGGTGTCAGGAATCTTACCTTTTGAAATATGGCAACCCTACCAGTTTTAGGGTAAGCTCCTTTTATAGCTCCTCACAATCCCCTTACATTTTTACCACCTTCAGCAATTTGATGTCATCAACAAATTTGGCAAAGTCCCTGCTCACCCCTATTTCCAGATCGTTTAGGAAGAACTTTAAAAGCACAGGTCCCACTACAGATACATTCTGATACTTAGATCTGTGAGGTTTGAAGCCAAAATCACAAACACATGTTTTGCTTAGCTAAGTGCATGACTAGTACACTGAGAGTTCTTGAACTTCCTAGAGAGGACTCTGTGAGGTCACTTCCTTTGCCACCTCTAGTCAGGAACTGTGTAACAAGGGCAACAAAACTATAAGTCCTTCTGCCTGTGAGGAAGGCAGTCTTGACCATGGTCTTCAGCCATGTTAGCTAAGACTACCAACTTTTATTTTACTGTAACTTAGAAGTATTTTTATGCACGCTACCTTGCTATATTTGCTTCCTGCCTCAAAATGTAAGCAAACTCCCCTCTCCCCCTTCGTTAAGTTTACTAAAAACGTGTAGTTCGTTCTCTGCACTGGGGGTGAAGAGGGGGGAGGTCAGCGGGCCACAAATGAAAGGAGTAGAAGGTTGCAGTTGCCTAATTCCTAACCTTTAATAAGTTGCAAAACTTGTAAGTGCTTTACTCTGCTAAAAAGGCTTCACAGTCAGATTACTTTTGTATCTCTCCCACACAATGTGGGGTAGGAGGTTTAGAGCTAAATCTACAAATTTAATCCTCAAATCCATCTTCCACAGGATCAACCTTGAGTATGCATGTACGTATGCAATTGGGTGTGCATTAGTGCCACTGGGAGCTGCAAGCTTAAGAAGTAGTAAAGTAAAAAAAGGTAAAGGGCCCCTGGATGGTTAAGTCCAGTCAAAGGCGACTATGGGGTGTGGCGCTCATCACCACTTTCAGGCCGAGGGAGCTGGCGTTTGTCTGCAGACAGCTTTCAGGGGCATGTGGCCAGCATGACTAAACCGCTACGGGACACAGTGGCGGAAACCAGAGCGTGCAGAAACGCCGTTTACCTTCCTGCCCCAGCAGTACCTATTTTATCTACTTGCACTGGCGTTCTTTCGAACTGCTAGGTTGGCAGGAAGTAGTACAGGGGCAGTGAGGCACCAAAAGTGGTGCCAGATGTGGGTGGGTGAGCCCCAAACAAAGATAAATGTGTCATTTTACCTCGGAATACTTCTGGGAACCACTGTCTTGAGAGAAGGAACACTATTCCCATACTCTCTTCGCCGCTTGTTTCACCCACCAAATCCCATATAAAACAATGCAGATTCTTTACTGTTTTGTTCTATATTATTTGCTACCTTAATAACGAACCATTCAAGGTTTCTTAGTGACTCTGTCCAATAAAGGATCAAACCAATGGTAAATTATCCCCGAGTATTGTATGCAACTCTTTGTTGGATACTCAGGAGGCCTCTGCCTGCCGCCTTGGCTGGGTTGGAAATTCACTGTCAGAAAACTCAGAAAACTAGGGATTTTAGCAGAGTTCCAGAAATGTGCTCTCTTAGCAATTGTTGTGGTGAAAAAAGATAGTTTGGGGCCATTTATCTTTTAGTTGTCCTGTGGGTAAGCAGAGCCTTGACACTAGGCCGCCATTACACTCTCAGGCAAACCATGCCCCATCCTCCTCCTCCCTTTAAAATAAGGTGGGTGTTGTGGTGAACTGTGAGGCTTGGGACATAAAATGTGTTAACAGAGGTGTAAGTGAAGGAGCGATGGCAGGGCTGGCAAGCAGAGCAGGCGGGTGGGGGACAGCCTCTAGTCTAATAAACAAATAGATAGGCCCTTGGTATGCTTGTTTTGAAATGCGGCTCTCAGATCTTAGCTATCTAGCTCTTTTTAGGTGATGAAAACTATTATGGCTAACTGCAGAGAGCTTTCTCTCTGCCTGTGTGGGTTTTTTTTAATTAAAAAACAACAACACAGCAGGCTTTGACTTGCATTGCCAAAAGAAGTATCTGGAATATGGGTTGGGTGGGTGGCATGGTAAAACGTGATCGTGAAGTGATAAGTTGCCACCATATCACAGTGTGCCGGGAGGTGGGAGCAGAGAAATCTCTAAATGGCATTTGATCAGTGCACTTATCACCACCTAAAATGGTTCATGTGACCCTCTTAGAGGAAGGTTGAAGTACTTTCTAGCTAGTATCCAGGCTACATCCAGATATGCTGTTTCCAGGTGAGCTGCTTTAATATTGCTGCCCTATATTTTCCAGAACAATGCAATTTTGACTCTGTAGGATAGCAATTCCTGTGCACACTGGCAAACTTTTGTGTGAGCATCAGTGATCTCCTTTGACAGCGTCTTCTTTCGTTCCAAAACAGATTCTCAGCTGGAGGAGATGGAGGTAAAAAAAAAGTCACCTTTTTCCGTCTTACATTGAGAGTGTTATTACTTATTTATTTTAAAGTCCTTGCATAGAATTAAATGTCCTATCTTGAACAGAATCATTTTCTATCCTGCCTAGAGAGGATGTACAATTTAGAATCTGGGTCACTTGTTCTAGGCAAGGTGTTCAGTAATATACTAAATGTTGAGGACCCCAGTCGATTGTGGCATGTACAAGTTTGTGCTTGGTTTATGTTGAATCTGCTAGCATTTTGCCTCACCACCAGCAGGCATGCCATATTACATTTTTTGGGGCTATGGCAACATGAACATTTTTGGGGGCATATCTAGGGAAGGGTCATAGCTCATTGGCAGAACATCTGCTTTGCATGCACAAGATGTTGGGTATTGCTGCCATTCAATACTGAACTAGATAATTAATGGTTTAACTCGGTATAAGGCAGCATAACAACAACAACAACAATAATAACAACAACAACAACAAATATTTGTACCCCGCTCATCTGACTGGGTTGCCCCAGCTACTCTGGGTGGCTTCCAGCACATATAAAAACATAATAAAGCATTGCACATTTAAAAACTACCTGATACAGGGCTGCCTTCAGATGTCTTCTAAAGGTTGTATAGTTATTTATCTCCTTGACATCTGATGGGAGGGCATTCTACAGGGTGGGTAGCACTACCAAGGAGGCCCTCTGCCAGGTTCCCTGTAACCTCACTTCTTGCAGTGAGGGTAATGCTAGAAGGCCCTCAGAGCTAGCTCTTGTGCATCTATATTTATTTTCTGGGAGAGGGCGATGTGCACTAGCATGATCTTGCAGCCAGAGATGCCACATTGGACTAGTGAAAGATTTGGATAACCATCTCTATTTGGACAGTGACATCAGGTTGCTTTATCACTTCAGACCACAGATGGAAGCTCATAGGCTGAAATGCTTCCTCACAAAAACATACATATATACAGAAAATGAATGCTTTGGAGAAGAGGTCTAATTTGCAGTCTAAAGTACAGTCCACATACAAATTTACTACCTTGGTGAGCAGTAAACACCAGCCTCGCCTCCCATCTGAATTGGTACAGTCTTAGGAAAAGAAACTTGATACTGTTTGCATCAAAAAACTATAAAGGGTAAAGAGAAACTGCAATATATCTCAGTGAGTTAAGAAATTACAGTGGCTTTGCTCTGCTTATCCAAGTTTTTGATATGACATTTGATGCAACAGGAAAAAGAGATCAGCCTTTCAGACTGTAACAGAATAAATCCAGATACTTGCCCATGATCTGCAAATCTCTGCCTTTTTCTGGATTTTAGAAAATGCAGGATCAAAGATGTGGGAATTAATTAGCAAAGTAAAATGGTTTCAAACAGAATTACTTTACATGCATTGCTTCTGTTCCTTTGTCATAATAAGAGAGTCACTATTTCATAGCATATTACCATTGCAGTGTTAAAAAAAAAGGTGTTTACATGTCATTAGTTTATGGCTGACTACATATGCAGAGCACACCTTTCCTTAACGACAAAGACCATCTCAGTCAATTACTTTAAATCAATTTATGGCTTTGAGACATATACAGTCTCTCTCTCTCTCTGTGTGTGTGTGTGTGTGTGTCTGTATTCCAAAGCTTGCACAGGAAAAATGTCACTTGCTATCCAACCAAGGGCAAGCCTGAAACATATGGTTACAATATCTGTGCCTTCATTGGGCTCCTGGGAGTATTCAGTGACAAATCAATGAAAATCTCTTGTACATGGGCTAGTGCAAAGTGGTGTGCATTGAGGGTGATAATGGAGCCGCCCTGTGCTATGATATTGGTAGCTGTGCTGCTTCCTTGCACGGATGCATTTTAAGCAAAGCATGAGAAGCTATTATTCCTTTGTGAATAAGAATTACAACAGTTTAACTTAAAATGAACAGAGAAACAGAAAACAGGTCTGGCTTTCCACTTACACACCAGAGAGGAGAATGTCCCGTAAATCTGTCAGATGAATGACTCCCTAAGCTGTATTCCTTCGTCTGTCTATGAACAATATTGGATGATTCACAAGAAAATCTCCCAGACATGAAAGGGTAATTATGATGTGGTCCATCAGTCATTCCCAGGGTCTGGCTGCACCAGCGCTCCTTCCTGCAAGTCTTACACATGTGTGCCTACCCTCAAGTGAGCCCCACTGAATATGTGTGTGTGGGATTACAGCTTTTTGTGTGTGTCAAGGTGTTACTGTTTGTACGTTTCTTACATTTCCCCATTTCCCCCCCTGGGGCTGTGTGGGAATCTCTTCATATTGTGTTTTTATTATTTTAAAAACAGTGCTGAATTAGGGCACAGATCAAATGAATAGCATTGTCAGCAGCCACTCTTAAGAATTCCAGAAAAACTAAAGCAGCTAATCTCTAGAATTTGTGATTGGGAAACCTTCCACAAGGATATTCCACTTTTTCCTCTCTGTCCAAGGGTTTATCAGTTCCCTCATTCCTCTGAGGCTTTTAATCGCAATTTAGAAACAATAGGGCTTTCACATTCCCTAAGCAAAGTAGTTCAAAATTGAAAAAGAGAGTGCTTTATGGCTCGGTTTATTTATATTTATATTAAATTAGGATTTTCAGTATGCCTAATTAGTATAATTAATCAAGGTTCCCCTTGAATATTCTCTACAGCTATTCTGTGACCTTTCTAGTTTGAGTAGTGGGTTGCAACATCGCTCTTCCACTGATACCCACTGTTCTACAGCTAACTTATTTGATGCTGTAAAATGTCACACTCTCCCCCCCCCTTTACAGTTTCCCCCCTTTTTATTGTTCAGTTGAATATTGATCTGTATTGAGTGCAAGTTATCCTTTCTTCTTCCCAGAGCACTGGCCTTATGCTGTGCTGTACAAAAAGATCAGCTCCATCTGTACTTTTATTGTTTTGAAAAGTTAAACACCTCAAGGTGAAATTTAGGTGATAAAACCTACACTTTTTCCTCATGCTGACATCTTTTCTGATGCTTAGCTATACCAGTCTACATTTGCAACTGGCTGTAAGGTTAAAGGATCGGCAAAAACCCACTAAAGCATGGGCAGCGAACTTGCTACCCTCCATATGTTGTTGGAATCCAAGTCCCCTTAGCTATAGCCAGCATGACTCAGTGGTCAGGGGATGATGGGAGCAGTAGTCCAGCAAAATCTAGAGGGACACAGAGCCCCCATCGTGCGATAAACCCTGGGCAAGGCATACCGTTCTCACTGTTGCCAACCATCCAGAAAAACCCTGGCATAGATGGAAAGCACCGTCTTAAAAGGCGTTACCCTTTCTGTCTCATACAGGAAGGAACGTCTCTTATTTGAGGGTGCCCTGTTATAATGCATGTAAGCATCATCTATGCTTTGTTTTGTTTTCCTTTAGAGCTGTTGTTTTTACTCGCATGAAAATATATTCAAATTACGGTGATTACAAGCAACAAACACAATTAAGTTTTTGGGTTTTTTTAAGAGCAGCATGTCAATTCATAATACTCACAGAGGCACGAGGCTCAAGAGCTCAGGGCTGGCCATACTTTCTCAGACTTTGCTACTGGATTGCCCTTCATTGATGTTCGATGGATAGATTGGACTGGTCCCTCTTGAGTCGGAGCCTAGACTGTTGCTCAGGACAGTGTCCTTGACACTGATCTGTCTACAGTGCTCCTGGGCTGATGGATCCAGCCTGCTCATCTCACTCCTTGATCTTGGTCAGAAGCATATTTTATTTTACTAATTCCATTGAAAGTGTGCTCGAATTCTGCATTTTATACACTTTATTAGGCACGTATTATTATCAGTATAACATCATATGTACATTTATCCACATTAGATGCATATACACACCAGATTTCTTAAACATATATTTATACAGTTCTGCTGCAGAAATATAGTACCACATGGTGTACACTCTTTTTATATGTACAACATGTGTATATTTCTGCATACAATTTTGCATACAATTAGTCAGGCTTAAAACAAACAAACCAGAATCCCAGAGCGTTCAAGCAGCTTGGATGTAAGCAGGTGCTTGATGCGAGACATGCCAGTAAAGTTTGATTTGGTTGGAACAGTTACATTCTGTGTATAAAACCTCACAATCTGTGATTTTAAGGTGTTTAAACTGTTTTCAGTATTGTATTTTGATGTTATTACCTTCTCTGGGACCTTAGGGTGAAGGGCTGGTTAATGATGATGATGATGATAATTTCCATAGCTGGAGATTCAAATGTAGAATTCTGTCAACAGAAGCTTTGTGCAAATATTGCCGCTTGTGCAACAGGGCTCTTCACTTCTTTCTCCCCCACCCCTGGACCCCTAAAATTGGTTGTGGAGGGGATCAGGAGGACATCCCCTCCATAGTGCATGGGGGGGGGAGTGAAGGAGGGCACGCTGCCTGGCAAGTCAAGACACTTGCCCTCTTGGAACAATCAGAAGAGCGTGATGTTGAATTCCTCCCCTGTTGTTTCTTTCCGGAAATGGAATCCTACAACAGAAAGGGGAATGCCAGGTTCATTCACACAAGAGTGACTTAGAATACATAGAGGGGGCTTTGCCCAGAAAGGCCATGTTGTTGAAGCCCCTCATTTTTAGGAAATACCATTTGATCAGAATTAAGTGTTCAAACAGTGGGGAAGACATACATCTTTTTTATAATATGACTGCCTGCGCTTTTTGATTATTTCTAGCACTGCATTTAGGTGTGGAAACGGGAGAGCAACACCATAGGCAGCTTTATTCCTGATGAACTAAGAGACCACCAGATTTATTCATGCCCCCAGGGATGAGGGATCCTTGACAGCTTGTGTTGCAGCTTAATATTGTAATTGATCTCATTTGCTGGCCTTTTGCACTGCTCCCCTTTCAGTCTTGTATGCTAAATAATTCAGACCTCTTATTTTCCCACAGCAAAAGAAACTCTGACTTCAATCATGCTTTTTACTGTTGCAGGAGCCTGTGGATCAAAAGTAGTAGTAATAGAAGGCCCCTGTG